TTGTGATCCTGTCAATCTGGTTCGAACGGTTGTCGAAAATCTTGAAATGATGCATGATCGACATATTCTTATATACTGGGTGGTCCTCAAACAACAATTATGACATCGAGTAATGAAAAAAATTTTGTTTTGACGAGCCAGAATATTTCGAAGCAGGAAACCGATTGAGAAGTTTCCTGGCAATCAAAGGGTGTAGAAGATGTTTTCATCACCCTGACAAGTTACTACAGATTCTATTGCAAGATCAAACCAATGGAATTGTTAGAAAAACCGGATTTTCAGAGAGTCGTTCTCACTTTGTGATACATTTTCAGAAGATAATTTCGAGGCAAATGAGATAGACTGAAGAAATACACAGGATGCCGTCTGAATAAAAAAATTTGCTGACGAGACATACTATGCAACTGACAGAATAGATAAACGAGTATCAGGATGTGATTTCATTTGCGGTGAACGTCTTCACAAAGGACCTATATTGAATTTTTGTCGAAATTCAAAAGAATAGCAGACGTGAGTCACATGGATATGTAATCACTCTCACGTTTAATTGAATTTAACATTGAAGTGAACATGAAAAGTACGAAAATTCAATGACACATAAATTCTTAAAAAGCAGTTGGGCCCACAGAACTCATAGACTTGGGCCTTCAAGAACGTGAAATTGATTGATGTAATTTGAACTGGTGTTATTGATGGAAAATCATAGAACGTGAACACTGTGACTGTGATGGAATTCAATATGAAAAATTCATGTTTCTTCTGAGTCACGTGAATAACTGCTGCCAAATAATCAATGCATCAAAAGGAGCATACAATGCCAAAATGAGATCGAAACTCATAGATATATTAATGATGGCTCCCGTTTATTTTGGTCCTTCTCTTCAAGTTAACTGCTAGTTTAACCAATCCCCAAAAATAAAAGAAGAATCTGCCCAATAATTATATTTCTATTGCCTTGTTATCAGTTATCTCCAAAGTGATGGAGAAAGCCATCTACATTGAAATCATGAAACATCTGGAAAGCTCAGGAATCATTAATGATAGACAAAATGGCTTTGGCCATCGGAGATCAACGGGAGATTTTCCTGCCTACGTAGCCCATATATGGCAATCTTTATTAGGAAAACATGAGAAATTACTAGTTGTGGCGTTTGATATATCGAAAGTATTCGATCGTGTTTGGCACCAAAGACTCCTCCACAAAACTACTATCGTAAGGCTCACCACCTCAGCTATTCCTTCTTTTACCGAATTTTCTTTCAGGCAGATCGCTCTATATGGTGGTCATCTGATACCATAGTCATATCAATTCCGAAGTTCTATAAGGGACAATTTTAGCACCAATATTGTTCCTAGTTCATATTACTGATCTGTTTTGAGTAACCAATTACCTTATCCAGAGCTTTGCAGATGAAATTACTCTCCATACTGCGTTCTCTTCCAGAATTCCCATTTCTCCCCTGGAAACTGAGAGGTCAATGTATCCATAATATGTAGAAATGAGGAACTCAAAAGAGCTATCAATTGTGACCTTGCCTGCTGTGATCCACTAGGCAATTTCAGTGACTATAGCAGGACCCTTGAAATCCGTTTCATATGTCATTCCTGTGATGATGATGTCTCTGTATAGCTCAAAGTCATCACTACTTTTAGTAGCATAGATGACTTTGAGCTTTCCTTCTTCATTATAAAAAACTCCACTCCAGTCTGAGCAAACATGAACTTCTACCAGAGATGTCTCTGCTAGGGCTTCGCGAGACGAAGAGCAAGACCAATACTCAATAAATCTTCCCAAGACCAAGATCAAGACTCTCTCTCAAGAGTCTTGGTTTCAAAAGAAAAATAATGAACCTAAATCTACCCAATATCAAGAAAAATCTGATGGAAGATGTTAGGAAGTATTATAGTTATTCATTTGTCATATGGTAGCTTTTTAATTTTCGTTCACTGGAAAGCCAAGATACATTTTTTAAATTCAGTATTGCAGTTTTGAAGTTTACAACAAATAGGTGTATGTGAGGTCACAGTGGTCCATACCTCCTCCTATTGAAGATAGAAACAAATTCAATACAAAAGTTATTTGGTTTGAATTTGAAATTTTTTGAAATTTTTTTATAATGCGTAGTCATTAGTTCCGACCCTTCTGAACCTTCTTTCTGGCCTGTCGGGCGTCGGCCTGTTTGCTATTTGGGTCTCATTTAATGTTTTTTCAAGGTTTCTTGGAAAAATTAAATTCTTATGGTGGAAGGAGAAATTTATTTGGCTTACTTTATATGCACTAATTGACGATTTGGATATTTGAATTGAATAATTCAGATTTCTAGACGCATTTTGATCCAAGATCAGGACTATCAAGACCAATACCAAGACCAAGAATACATTTATTGATTATTTTTCGAGACCAAGACCAAGACTGATCAGTATTGGTCTTGGTCTCGCGAAGCCCTAGTCTCTGTATAGTTAATTCTTGATTAATTCCTGTTATCCTCGTGCAGTAAATTCTTCCACTGATTCAATCGTTTCATCATTTCACCTGTCCGAAGCACTACTGAGATCTTGTTACATATTGTACGTGTCATAATGATGTTCGTTATCAAACTCGTATATTCCAAACGTCCTGAACTCTACCTCTAAGTACTGACTCAAGAACATTTTTAACATACCGAGTGTCATTAATACTGGATCTCTTTGAGTAACGAAGTTTTATTTCTGCAGCATACATCTAATACAGAAAATAGTACCAATTACAAGACTACTAATAGGGGCCAATATTCACGACAGTCTCAAGATACCAACATCGAGTCTGAACCACTTTTCTACAACAGTCGACCGCTCAATAAAACAACATATTCGAGGTACGAGAAATTTGTCAGTATACCCAGGTAGAACACTGATATTAGTTGAATATTGAACCAATAAAGAGTGAATGTTGGTGAAATATTGATTTCAAATATAAGACCAATAAATCAATGTGAACATATTGGAATTTTGGTGCTATGTTGAATTTAAATCTTGCTTCGATATGCTCTATCCAATATCGAGTTTATATTCGTATAGAAGATTGGACAAAGATATTATGCCAAACTTATAGAAAACGGTTTTTTATTATTTCCATATGTAAATTCGATATTAAATTTATATTTGCCTACTATATTGGCCAAAATTAGGATGTGATCATTTTGCAATATTATCTTTATGTTGAATTATAATATTCTATCAATATTGTATTTCGTTTCTAGGGAAAATACAAATATGAAAATAATATTCGTGGCAAATATCATGCAATATTCAATAATCATCCCGAACATAATATAGGAGGAATATTATTTTAATTATATTGATTCAATGTTGAAATCAATTCAAAAATGATATAGATGTGATATCATTTTCATTATATCGAATTGATATTGAAAACCCAATATCAGTGCAATTTTGTTGGACAATGAAATAAAATATTCACTAACCATCATAAATCTGATAATGATGCAATATTTTTTTCCAAGATTGATATGATATTGGAAATACAATATCGGCCTATCATGTGAATTGACATACTGTAATCGTTGATATTTCGCCAATATCGAATATATATTGGCAGATAAATATCGGCTGGTAACAAAATTCTTATGTTATTACAACATTGGCACTGGATTGATTATTGAATATCGAAATGATATTGAATAGCCAATATCAGTGCGATATTGCTGGACAATGTAATGCAATATTCAGTAACCATCATAAATCGGATATTGAAGCAATATTTTCATTCCAAGATTGATTCGATGTTGGAAATACAATATCATTTCATCATGAACATCGACATATTGTAATCGCCAATATTTCACCAATATCAAATAAATATTGGCAAATTGATATGGGCTGGTCACAAAATTTCAATGTTACCACAACATTGGCACTGGATTGATGATCGAATATTGAAATGAACAATTGGTTAGATATTGGGACAATTTAGTATCTCCATATTCAATATTCGAATATTGGGCTAATGTGAGACCAAGTTTTAGCCAATATGATGCTCTAGATGGGCATGAATTCATCTCTTACTTTTAGGTACCTTTTAGTGCCTTCCTTAAATATCAAATGTAAATCAGGCTCTGAAACTAATAATTACAGTGATCTCAAACGCTCAAAAGAGCCATTTATGTTTCAGTCATGAAAATTGGATGAGCTGCGACAGCTCTGCATATAACCAAAGTGGCGATAGCTTTGATGCTGGTTTATTCATGGATGCAAATGAGATGCAACATCAATCATCTGGGAAATATTCCAAAGGTAGTGTATGCAGTGTTTTTGATATGAAACTTTCCTTTCAACACGATCGTATTCAATCCGGTAGGAGTTTGTTCACCACACAACGAGAACTTGTATGAATAAAATATCATTCAGGCATTATGCATGAGGATTCTTTAAACTCAACATAATGTTTGATTTCCTTCAGACAAATAACTGACGGAAGTCAATTTTTAGATATGTAAGTTAAAAATTAGGAATGACATTTTAGTCCAATAAATGAAGGAGGAAAAAAAGGCAAAGTTAACGTTAATTACGCACTATTTTCATCTTCCGGTTGGAAGTAGCTTTTGGTACCTCATTAAACATGAGACAAAGTTTGACTGGAAAACGCGTGCGATGGCGGAGAAAATGGCCTCAAAAGACCAGGAAAATAGGTTTTCAGCCAATATCTCCTAAAATATGGCAGTTAGAGATTTTCGGTTCAGATAAAAATTGAAGTTCAGTTAATTTTCGACAAAAATGGTTCTTATCATTTTTCTCGAAAATTTGCCCGGTTTCGAGAAAAACGGCACGAAACGCACCTCGAATAATGAGCTTCTGTTGTATGCCGGAGAGCACAGTCCGTGTATTTACACATCGGCGGGGCGACAAATTATTTAATAACTTTGTTAAAAATGCATATTTTCTCATGATTCAAAGTTAATGTGAAAGAGGAATTCTGCTGCTATCATACCCTGCGTGGCCGCATGGTTTGTAGCAGACGACCCGACCGCCACGTAGAGGACACACGCGACGAACGACGGAGGAACGAAAGTAATAAATTATTGCGTGTACATTTAGATATACTGGTTTTTTCCCGGGATATCAAAGGTATGACTTATATACATCGATGGAAAGGTGGGAATTCCCCCGTTACACTAGTTAAGGTGTTAAAATGTTAGAAATAAGGAGCACGGAGAAAAAAAAACACCGAAAAAAAGTGCGTTTTTTCCTTGACCCCGCTTTTTCTAATTTTATTGAAAAATGAACGACTTCGTCTAAAAAAGTAATTGCACAATCGAAAAGTAGACCTCCTTAGCTTTCAAATGATGTATCATAGAAACCAATCGGATCATGTATACATTTTTTATTGATGGTTGTTCACAAAATTTCCCCACGCTCCAAAAACAGCAAAAAAATGGGATTCAATAAACAAAGATTAAATGAAAATTAAAAAAAATTGGGGTATACAAATTTCAGGGATAACAAAGGACCTTATGAGGACCCATAATCAAGAAAATGTTGAGTAAATTAGTGCAATACAAAAAAAATAGGAACAAATTCCTGGCGAGGTCAAAATTGACCGGGAGCAGAAAGTTTGACCCATGTTCCGATATGGCCAAAAGAGTCAAGCGTGACTCAATTCACAGGGTATGAAAGCAGCAGAATTCCTCTTTCACATGAACTTTGAATCATGAGAAAATATGCATTTTTAACAAAGTTATTGAATAATTTGTCTCCCCCCCCCCCGATGTGTAAATACACAGACTGTGCTCTCCGGCAATTAACTGAACTTCAATTTTTATCTGAACCGAAAATCTCTAACTGCCATATTTTAGGAGATATTGGCTGAAAACCTATTTTTCTGGTCTTTTGGGGCCATTTTCTCCGCCATCGCACGCGTTTTCCAGTCAAACTTTGTCTCATGTTTAATGAGGTACCAAAAGCTACTTCCAACCGGAAGATGAAAATAGTGCGTAATTAATGTTAACTTTTTCCCTTTATTTATTGGACTATTTCGTGTTGGAAGGAAACTTCAATCTTGACATAGGAAACCCCTCACAAATGGGGAACGGACTCTTCAATGGGTTGCGTGCAAGAACTGTCAGATGACCGACGCTGGAGGCAAAACATTGAAACACAACGTCACTTTTCTTATTTGTTTACAAGTGATCGAAATAGTTTTCCACAATTATTTTGGCATATGAATCGTATTTTTCCGCTATTCATCAATTCGCTCATGCCATCACATTGTGCTGTTGTAAAATGCACAAAAACTGCAGCGGAAGATGAAGGAATCCGGATGGTACATTATGATTCAAAAGTAAGTTCCTACAATAGTCACTCACATATAGTTCTCATTTTTTAAATTTGGTTATTTCTCTGATTTCTCATCGGAATTCCTTCCACAATAAGAGCTAATGAAAATATACCTGAAATTTCTAGAATAATGCAAGAAGATTGGATTCATGCAATCAATCGGGAGGACTGGTCTGACATGCTGACGATCGTGTGTGTTGTAGACATTTTCAATCTATTAGCAGTATTAGCTTGTATTGCATAAGTGGCAGAAGGCAGAAGGAATTTCAATAAGGAATGACAACATTTCATGATGATAACTATGTTAGATTACTATTTACCTGAATAATCATATTCCCTAGTTTCTTGTTGCATTTTTTGTGCATTGTACAACAGCACAATGCGAAGGCATGCTTGAATTAATGAATAACGCAAGAAACACGATTCGTATGCCAAAATATTGTGAAAAACTATTTCAACTTTTTGATTCCTCTGTAAACAAATGAAAAAGTGAGGTTGTGTTTCAATAATTCACAGAAGAGTGAGGTTGTGTTTCAATATTTTGCCTCCAGGGTCGGTCATCGTGCACGCGACTTTCGTATTATTTTCCTTGAAAAATTAACTGATCAACAAAAGGAACGTCGTGGTCCAAAATATAGACCGATTTCAAAAGCGAATCAATCACGGATTCCATAGATAGATAGATAAATGAGATTAGATGGAATAGATTAAGAGGGAGAAACTCAACGTCATTACCATACAATAGTTCATAAAATGTACGAAAATAGAAGATATATAGAGAAAAACAACTACTTTCCCGGCTATAAACCGCGAAGTACATTGAATTACATCCTCCCGATATCAATACAACGATTTGTAAAGACAGATATAACTGTGATACTGTTCAGGAACGATTGACTACCTACAAACCGGTTTTTTTTATCGCTTGGAGCGCACGAAAGGAAAGGTTTCGAACTTCGTGCTCTCATAAGTGCAGGGATGTCTTCAGATGACATTCATGACCGCTATCTGGTGCGAACTTGACCCAACGTAAACACATCCCAGCATTCAATACCCACGAGGCGCATGGCATCTGCGAAATGGATTCATGATTCATAAGAACTATTACACTAATATACAAATTTTACTAACACCACTAACTTAATAAATACTTGATGTATTTTCCTTTGCTGTGTTAAGGATTACATTGAACATTGGTATTCACTTTTCAAATTGATTTCAGCATTTACCAAAAGATATAATACGATGATTCAACATAAAAGAGGTTCTATCACATTTTCTATGACAAACCCTCATGAAAAATCATGTTGAACTATTATTTATATTATTATTAGTTTTATTATTATTGATATTTTATACAGAAACGTATAATGTAGGGACAGAATCAATCATTAACATCTGAAATCGGTTGAGGAGTAACTGTACAGGGTGGCCAACTAAGAATCCAGAGTTCGATACCTCTGTTGTCTTGAGATACAAAAAAAGTTTTGCATTCGAATTAAAGTGATAACCGAGCTTCACATTTCAAAATTTCTTTGAAATACACAGGGTGTTCCGTAAGGTCACAGCACATCAAAGCTATGTTTTTTCAATGGAACACCCTATATTTTATTTCATTTTTGAATTCTCCCTGAAGATCTGATTTCAACGACGTATCTCACTTAGGCTCTAGCAGTGAAAGTTACTGACATAAAGGGTGTGCAAAATCAAGATTTTCCAAGTTCAGGATTTTTTTTCTGTCGAAACTGTTCATTATTCGTCAAAACGGTTTACATGTCCCTATCTCAACTTTTCACTCACTATCAATTGGTGTTCAATTGACATTTAATTGAAACAAATTATAAATTTAGATTTTTTGACCACCTTGTATCAATTTCAATTGAACACTTATTGATAGTGAGTGAAAAGTTGAGATGTAAACCGTTTTGACGAATAATGAACAGAAAAAAATTCTGAACTTGGAAAATCTCGATTTTGCACACCCTATATGTCAGTAACTTTCACTGGTAGACCCTAAGTATGATGGGTCATCGAAATCAGATCTTCAGGGAGAATTCAAAAATGAAATGAAATATAGGTTGTTTCAATGAGAGAAACATAGCTTTGATGTGCTGTGACCTTACGGAACACCCTGTGTATTTCAAAGGAATTTTGAAATGTGCAGCTCGGTTATTTCTTCAATTTTGATTCATGAATTTTTTTTGTATCTCTCAAGGCAACAAAGAAATCGAACTCTGGAGTCTTAGTTGGCCACCCTGTACAGTGTGTCTCACTTTTGATGGATACACCCTTGAATATTACCTAATTGTGAGTGGTTTTCTATGGTCCTACATTCAAAATATAACATCTGCTCTAATTTTCTAATTCTTATTTTTTGCAGCTAGAAGACCTAGTTTAGAGAGGCAATCCACCTTATACGATGACTGTAGCTATTATGATTACACTACCAGTATACAGAACGATACTGGCAATAGCAGGTGACAATATACAGGGTGTCCCGTGACTCGATCCTCATAGCTTAAGTGTATATTCCTTAAACAATTTCACGTCGGAAGTTCGTCAGACACTCTTGTCTAAAACTATAATTGGAAGGAGTTATGAGCAATAGGTGCAGAGTGAACTATTCTTTTTTTCTTTCTTATATCGGATCATCACTGAATTACCTATCAATTTCATATTTTTTGAGAAGTTTTTGGTCGATTTTTAGGTGCTAACATCATCAATAATGTCACTGCAATTTTCAAGTGGCTGAAAATTTACCGCCCGTAAAAACTGACGCCACGATTTTGTAAGATGAGGCACACCTTAGCACAGTTGCCGTGTGTTGAAATACGATTGGGAATTTCAGAAATATTAGTTATTCGATACCTAACTCATAAATTCTCAAAAATTCAATTGTCTCAAAATGTTCCCTTATGATTTGTGGCTTATTGCTTATGATAAATTTGTGTAAATAATGATTATATTGATTCACACTAGACGACATTTGCATCGGTTAACGTGACAACCATAGAGTAGGCCCTGGACAACCACGGCGCACGACTTGTGGGCTTGGTCTTGTCAGTTCTCAGCATTCAGCACAATGTTTCCAAGTCTCCAACATTCACATAATATGTTATTATGGAGGATAGGAAATATTTGGACATGCTTGTTGCTCGAAATAGTCGAGAATGAATTGTAACATCATGGGTTCCTCCGATTATGTTATATTCAACGACAGTACTGAAAAATTGTTCTAAAATTGTTCTATCCGTCATTCGGTTGCCCCCTTACGAGCAACCCTCAAAAGTCTTCGAAAGTCTTGTGCGAGCAAGGAATGACGGGGGCCTTACCTTTTAACGTGTGATCCCAAACACTTTCTTGGGCCATCAGAAAAATTTCTGCAGTCGACGGGACTCGAACCCACGACCGGCAAGCGAATGCGGATTAGAATATGGACACTCTGTCCGCACGGCTACTCTTTTTGATAACTTGATTATAATTGGTGACTTGACAACCTTGCTTCATGAGTGGAAATGGAATATCATCTGACCAATAGCGAAACAGCATAAAAACTGGCGTCACCATTTATTCGACGTATCGCCAAATGGCGGCCATGAAGGTTCGTTTGAAATGAGCTCTGGAATTCAACAATTCCGAACAACACATAGACTCATAATTCACATGAAAAAGTATGAGGAGTGTTGAAAAAATCAATTTAGGTTCTTAACGACCCAGTGAAGCAAATGAATGCTAATAATTCATTATCATTCTACTAGCCCATTGAATAACAACTTCGCCTACTGGTGGATTGAAAGATCCTAACGACCTCTCAACAATTATCTCAGAGGGGACACATGGAAAGTCTAGTGTTTTCAAATAAACCTCAAAGCAGAAATCAGCTGATTCTAAATAATATTACTACAGCTGCATTTATTCGAGTCGGCCGAGGTACTCTTCAGAGAGCAACGTATTCAATACTTAGAATAAGAGCAATAATATGTTGTAAAGCAGCGGGGGGACATTTTGAACACAAACTTTGATCAAATTTGAGTAAGCAATAATAAAATTCATGAAATATTACATTACTTTATTCAACATTCTCTTTGCTTCCTTCAACACATTCTTTTAAATTTAAAATTGCTTATTACTTCTCAACTATAGAGTTTTGGACGGAAGTTTATAGGGCGTTCTCGACTTCAAGGAGTATGCTCTCAAGCTATGGGGGTCGAGTCACGAGACCCTGTATCTTGAGAAATAGTTTGAGATGAAGAAGTTTGAAGAGTCAAAGTGAACATATGAAACGATGCTTGATTGCATTTGGTATTGATGGCAAATTGAATATGGATTATCCAGGTATTTCTATCGAATGGTTTCCACATGACTCATATTACAATGTACAGAGTGATGTCGAAATACCAATACGTCGTTAAAATATTTACATCGAATTTTGAATCACCCTATACATTGGGTGTTCGGTAATTCGTTGGTACATGTTAAAATTATTGGGATGTTCTAGAACAATCTGGAACGCTTGATACAGGGTGAAAGTTGTAGTCTTGTCTACCCTATGATTTTCCTGTACCTCTCAGGAAAAAATCATCAAACTACTATTCGTGATTATTCTATTGTTTTTGTTAGTATGATGGTGGAGATGGGAGAATACTGACAAGAATGTTCAAATATATTACTGTGACGATTCACTTTTCGGACCAAAATCTCTCCGGTTCAGTACGTCAACTGGGGTGGAACGAATCAAAATCTGAGTTTTTTTCAGCACTGCAACCAAAGTACATTCCTTGAGAATGTGGAAAAAAAAAATATATACGATTCGGATATTTTTCCTCTAGAGCTTGGTGAAGAAATAAAAAAAATCCACTATCGAACATGAACGATTTTTTAAAAAATTCTAAAGCGTGATCCGCTCAACCTCGCATTTTGGGGTGAAGAGGATTATATCTTTCAAATGTCTGAAAAATCATTTCGAACAGGTCAATGGGTGCATAGGATCAACGAAATTCATCTTGAGAAATAATAAATTTATAACTGAAAAAAACGAACAGAATTTCATGAAAATAGCTATCAACGTCTCAATCATACAGGGTGGTTTTATTCCATGGTTTGTTATAATATTTTTTTCTACTCACCTGTGGTGTGAACAAACTTGTTGAGCTATTTGTCGGTGATGATGATACCTTCTTAGATTGATCAATGAACAAAAGATGAAAAAAGAAACCTGCGTGCTCACATGAAACTACACTACGATCCTCTTCACCCCACTATATTCGATTCACCACCGTTGACGGTACCTATTGGCTGAAATGAAGTGATTTTCCTCACTAAATAAAAATAACTGATTTCTATAAACTCATTCAAGAAGTAGGTATAATTTTCTAGCCACCACGTCTTAGAGCAAATACCCAGCTGCGACGAATACTACGACGTCCAACCCTACTCCTACCAAGACGATCGCTTCGGCCAAGAAGAAGAAGACCGCCAATGGGACAGCGGAGGGTTCCACCCCTATCCCCCTCACCCCCGACCCAAGAAACTCCCTTCCATCCCAGCAATCCAAAAGCCCCTACCGCACAGCGACACCTACTCCGTATACGAAGAACCCTCCCGACCAACTTCAACCAACAGAAGAAAAATGCCCCAGATACCCACCAAACGAACCTCCTGGCGCCAAGAACCATCCGAAGGCAGCCACACTCCCGAGTACTCTCACCGAGGTGCCAGTCTACCCCCCACGCCTACCAAGACCTCCAAGATGTCCAGCAGACTGTCCCAGGTGCTAGCTTCGAACGGAAGGGCTCCGACGCCAGGTCGTCAGCTGCCCAAGCCAGTTTCCAACTACAGCGCTAGAGCGAAAAGAAACAGGCTGATAAAGAGAACTAGCTCAGCGGATTACGCAGATAATTTCACGGAAAATGATTACGTCAGAACTGGCGCCACTAGCGCCTTGGATAACTATAACGAAGACTACAACTATGCATATCAGAGTAACGATAACCTGCCTTTGGATCCCGAAGAGGATATCTACGTTCGAACGGAGCAGACCAACAGCTATTACAGCCAAAACCCTGACTACAATCAGAGCTACTACGATGTCAAGATCCCAGTACCCCCCAGAAAGAAGCTTCTAGGCGAAAACGATGCTAACTTCGTACAACAGAACACGGACAGCTTAGAATCGCGAGACGACGAGCTGAAAGACTCCTTTGAAACTCCTGTTTCCTCCATGAGCAGTTCCTTGCAAATCATCAAGCCTAACGCTTATCCTGAAGCATCTAGTGAGCTGATGTCTCCCAATATCGCACAGAAGAACATATTGAATGCGATGTCTCATCAAGGGGAGCTGGACCAACTGAGAGCGTTGGAGAACACGAACCCTTCTAGTCTTACTGTCGCTCAGGTGCACAATCACAATAGCTTGGGCAGTAATAAGACTTTTATGAAGCAGCTGAGCTGCGTGGATAATGGTTATTATATGCAGGGTCAGTTCGATGGGATGAAGGACAGCCAGATGACGTACGGGAGCTTGGGTCAGGAGGATTCGTATCTGGAGGTGCAGGAGTCAGTAGAGAGTTATGTAGAGGATGAGACTGAAGATAGTGTTGCCTATGGTAAGTGGTAGTAAGATATGTCTTGCTCTTGTTTTGACACTCAGTGAGTCAGGAAGCAAAATTTTTCATGCGGTGGAGGATATTCCATTTTTCCTGGATTGCTTTTCAGATATTGTGCTTATTTTCAGTATAAGAATTTACGGAAAAAGTTTTCACTTGTAATACCACTAGAGGTAAAATTATCTCCGGAAAGTTTTTCGAGCTCATGGATATATTAAAAATTATTTCGAGTCGAAGACGAGGGATAATTTTCGAAATTGTGAAAGTAATTTGACCTCGTTTGGTATTCGGTGAGAAAATTTCACACCAGATTGTGTTTGGAAATTAAATAATTATAGAATTTATTTGTTCATTTGATTTGCATACAGGTTCATGAATAAATTTATGGTTTGGGTCGCAGTTTCGGCACCTATAATAGATTCCTGATATCTACCTATTATATTTGCATGAAAATTTCACACCAAACATTTTCGATCAATTTAAAGCCTGTATTTCGTATCGTCACTATAGCAACTGAACAAATTTCTTGGAAATTTTTTCCTCCCCTTTGGGGGACGGAGCATGAAATTACACTGGAAGTTTCTTGACGTTCATAGGTTAAATGACATTAACATTCAACTTCAGATTATTTCGAGTTCATTCTATAAGTCAATAAATGAAAATCATTTATAAACAGTTTACCATATAATAATTATGTAGGTATACTTGCAAATGCGGGATTTACAAAAACATATGTTGTTACTATACGTTAGTTCTTACATTTCATCACAAACAACCATTAACATGTAAATTTTCTTGCCGAATACTACTTTAGCTTCGTCTTTGACTCGAAAAAATTTTCAAAATATTCGTATTCTCGAAGGAATTTAGGGAAATAATTGAAGCTCTAGTGATATTGTGAGTGAAAATACTAGTTCAGAATGTAACATATAATATTCTTTCATTTTATATCAACTTCGAAATGCTACAAGTGATAAAACATTATTATTTCGTCAATTAATTTTTGATAGGTATAGGTACATACTAGTAGTAGTAGAGAAAGGGGAGGCGGTCGCCTAGCAAGTAGGCCCTAGTGAGCCTTTTCTGCAACCTTAGTCTTGTCAAGCCTTTACCGTGGCAAAGTATGTCTACTAGTACTTACTCCTCTTCCTGACAAAACCTGCACAGCAGTTCTTCAGCCAGACCTATCGTATTCATAAGTTTCTTAAGCTCAAAATGTCAGGTGAGAAGTCAAAATAGTATTCTAGTTGAAGATAGGTTCTGGCTCTGTGAATATTGGCGATGGTTTCCTAATAAACTTCTTCACCTGTCCTATTTCTGGAGAATGGTTCCACCATTCTCGAGATTTGGTTCACATTCATGATTTGGAGCTTGTCTCATTTATAGCTTTCTGAATGCCACAAAAGGATTCTGGGCTATTCAGAGCTTCACTTGCTCTTGATCGGGCTAGTGAATCTGCCTCTTCATTGCCCTCATACCTTGTATCAGCTAGAACCTATGCTAGGGTCAGTCTGTTCTGACTGACCAGCTTTGAATCAACCTGCATTGAGTTGACTGCGTTGATGGCCGCCTGGCTTTCCGAGTAGATTGCAATGATTCTTCCTGCAAACTTTTGCCTTATCAAATCTGCAATTTCTGACTGAAACACCGTCTTTGGCTTGGCCACCTCATTCTGGTAACTTATGGGACACCAATTTTCACTCCTGACTCTTGATGTTCTACTCAGAGTTGTCTACCGTGCTTTCACGTTTACTCCCCACATAAGACATAACTCGTGTGATATCGTTATTTGATGGGAGGGAGAAAGCGATCTATGCCTCTTCCTCACTCCTACGTAGCTGCTAGCTCCGAATACGACCGAGAACTTTGCCTTCTGGTACTGGTACTGGTGGGATACGTTTACACGTCAGCAGTTCCTAATGGGGCCTTTTTGCAAGCCCCAAGGTGTTTTCAATGAGTGATGTGATTTGCTTAAATGAGCTGGCTAACATCCTTTTCAGGTACCGTCCATCAGCTCTCTTTCATAGTTTATTCGGCTGTATTTTATTGGCTATTAATGTACTCACTACCATTTGTTGCAGTGGCAGGCCTGCTAGCTATTCTCGTTAACCCCAGTTAGAGACCGAGGTCCACTAAGCAGCATTGGCCCGCTCTTAAGCTCAGCTGGTATTTTTTCACACCCACCTACATACACCGTCCTGTTTCTTCTCTGATGCTCACAAACACATCATCATCTCTTTCTGCGTGCTCTGTGTAGGCTTTGTTACTAACTCCATGCGCCACTTTAGGAGCAGCACTGAAAAATGGAACGCAACAGCGAATCGTGCAGGACTATCTCCAGCCGATGCTCCACAACTTCACAATATGGAATTCGTGAATAAAATATTGAAAAAAATTCCTTGCTCGTGCTGGGAATCGAACCCATGACCTCGCGGTCGTGAGACGGGCGCTCCTCCACTGCCCCAATCCCGGCAAAAAAAGAAAAAACTTTGCCTCTGTAGTGTTTTTCAATGGAAGCACGATTTATGTTCTTTATTCTTTCTCCAGGTTCCAATACTGGAATTGGCACAGCGCAAGCAATAAATCACGATTCCCCCTTGTCTGTGATACACGTAGAAAGCCGGGAGGACGAACAGCAAACGCTTCGTAGTAGAGAGTCCTCCCAAGTGAGCGTTGCCGTCGATCCATTTCATGCGACAGCGCTAAAGCAACGGCAACAGCAGCAGCAGCAGCAGCAAGCACAAGCAGTTGTCCCCAGGAGATCGTCAGGCGCCGAAACAGCTTACCAAAACTTTAACGATAATTTGTGTAGGTGTTCTTGTTTCAATATTCAATATTTGAACGTTATACAGGGTGAGTCATAATGATAGGGACAAAGGCTAAGGGCGGATTGCTTGGACAAAAATATGGCGATATGGCCAAATATGCCTTGATGAAATATTGCTGTGGAAAAAAATACAGGGCGTTGGAGTTAATTTTTTTTGCATGCAGAATCCAACTCCTCTCAATATTCAGCCAACCTATTTCACTAAGTGGACTGAAATATATCTCTCCTGCCTAGCCTACAAATTAGACGAGCGCAGAAGTTTTAGGCGTTGCGCATCACTTTGAAGTAGCAGGTTCATAAATGATGTCACCATAATTGAGATGTGAAAGAACTAGCGATTCCCATGAGGTTATTTCACTCCGCTTATCGAGAATTTTCCTGTTGGCATAAATCAATTTCAGGTTGCAGAACGCCCGTCTTATAATCGAATTAATGAGTTTGTTGTAATCCAAATTGGAGTCAAGGGAAATTCCAAAGTTTTTGGCACTCTCCACTGAAGAAATTGACATATATCCCTGATTGTGAAATTCAATTCATCCACAAACGAGTACGGGCAACTTTTTTTATCATACAGCATGGACAGCATAGATTTTCTAGGATTTATAGATAGACAAAATTTCTCAGATATTGATACAATTGATTCTAGGCAGACTTTAATCTGGTTTTAGCTACCAAAAGGTCAGTCCCAGCAAATGACAAATAATTCTGCGTGTCATCAGCGTAAAAATGTCACTAGCTGAACTTTATACAGGGTGATTCATTGGGAAATGCCCATACAGTAAATGTAGATAGAGGACACCGAGGTGCATCACTGAATAATCTCTATTTCATGGTACAGGGATAACTCGTTCTTGAATAATCACGGCAAGCAATAGTTTTTTGTCTCAAACAACGATATTGTTCAACTCCATTTGATTATCAAGTCAAACACAGTGTAGTATATGGAGCGGAATGAATAATAGCTATTATTTTTGTTGATATGCTCACTAACCTAACATTTTCCAAATCTTGTTCCTATACCTGGCACTGGCGCAGTATTTGCCATTAGAGTACCTGGTTCATAGACAAATATGTCACTCTGTGGTTGAATCTATATTGAAACTACAATTCGAACATCATTGAGAATTGAATAAACCTGTTAATGCAGGTAGAATATTCTCACCACACCGATTATTTGTTGCATTCCATACATATGGCACGGTATTGGTGGGTACTTCACAAATTTATTAGAGTTGATTGTTTCAGTTGCAGAAAAAATAGCAAATCGCAAATGCAAAATTCGCTTTTCAAACAAAGTGTCACTTTTGATCCTAATGAACAATCTACTATTGTCGTTCCCAAATGGCAACTTAACATTTTCAATCTATGAATTCATCAACTGTTTCTTATTGTCCAAATTGTTGGATCCCAACCTGATTGAAAAAGTAGAGGACAAGTCCGTATATTTAAGAAAATTATTATTATCAAATTGAATAGTATGTGTAAGTGTTTGTTTATCGCACTGCATTTGAAACAACAATTATGAAAATGAAGAACAATGCCCATTCCGAAAGAATCATAGGTTTGTTTCAAACAAAAATAACATTGCTACGAAAAGCTTAATCATAACAGAAAATAAAAAACTAGACTCTTCTCTATCCACGTCTGCAGCAGCAGCAGCAGCAGTCTGTACGTACACATTGGGTTTGATATCCCAAATCGTTGAAATTGTCAAGATGGCTGATGTCAGAGTACAATTTTGATGTTAGTTGATGATTTTGTACTTTCAAAAAGTTATATTTGTTGCAAGGACATTTTGGTTTGAAATAAAGTTATGCTTCTTTTGGAATTGGCATTATTCAACATTTCCACAATAGGCATGTACACCTTGGTAGAACTTTTAACTCAAACCATGTTTATAATGATCCTTTCATACATAAATAATGATTGACGACATAATTCGATCGAAAAATTTACTGGAATGTTCAATTTATGGACATAAATAATAGTACCATCTGAAAACGGACCCTCTTATGACGTAGAAACCTCATCTCGCCATAGTTAAAAGAAAATACCAAACGCCCGACGGAGACTGAGGCAACTGATATATTAATTCTTTCAATTGTGATCTCGCGCTAAAGTGGTATGCGGAAACACCAAATACATTCTTACTTATTGTTTCCTGCTATTTCCAAATTTGTAAATGAGTTTGTAAAATATTGATATACAGGGTGTTGTTTCGACTCGGAACCTACTTACTTATTTCTTCAAGGCCAGCCCAGGAGAGATATTTTTCCATTTTTTCAATCTTTTTCTCTGTGGACAAAGAGCATACAAACCAAATATCAAGAAATTGTATAGGGTGGTTCATTAGTTGTTATGATTGATTGAAAAAATGAGGGAAACCAATGAATCACCCTGTATCTGTAGATGAAACAAAGTTGTTTGTTGAACATTCAGGAATGAATGATTTCGTTAATGTTTGCTCGATTGAGGACCATAAAGTTGAAATATAAATACCACATACATTTTACATAACAATGCGCGCACTGTTTTACTTCGCGCATTGTTTTGTGCAAGGTATCATGGCAACGTAGGAGTGTCACTTCGCAATTAGTTTCAATGCGCGAAACTTGTCATTTTTTGACGTTTGTAGAAAAACAAAATTGTAGAAAACTTGTAGCAGAGATTTATTCCCCTGTCACTAACCAATTCAAAATGCGTCTGTTCTCCTCAAATTTCAGTGTGCGACGACACCGACCAATTCCCCACTTCGTACCCCCGCGTCAAACCTGCCGCCCTTGATGCCCCGCTAGTCCGCCAGCCGTCAGTCCGGCGGTCACCCCCCACCCCCGAGAAACCCCCCGAAACCCCTCCGAAGGCCCTCGACGAGCCGGCGCCGGCGCCGGTCACGCAGCCGGCGCCGGACCACCGCGAAGACGAGGCCGGCGATCACCGGCCCAAGATCACGGCGCAGCAGCGGTGGCTGTGGGCGTACAACAAGATCATCATGCAGATGGACGTGAGTGAATTTGGAATTATTCATGCTGGGTTCATGCGATATCACTTGATTTTCAACTCAATTTTATTTGATGAAATGAGGAATTTCGGTCCAATCAAATGGTATTTTCACTTGGAAAAAAATCAAGTTGTCTGTTTCTTTGTGGTTTCATATGTTTTTGGAGGTGCTGAATTCGAATCTGAATTTTGCAAAAACAAAATTGCCTGGAGCGTTCCGAAATATTCGCAAAAAACAGCAACATTTTTGGACTTTTTTCGGTTCTTTTCCCGTAACACGAAAATTATACGTTATATCGAAAAGACCGCCCTATAAAAAGTTGAAGTAGATGAAGTTTCCTGAATATAATTTTTATTGCTCATGAATGTAGGACTAACGAGCGCGGAGATAGAGCCAGTTGGAAATTGACCAAATTTGCGTACTTTTTTCGCAGATAATTCCAAATCTACGCATTTCTCGAAGAAACAAACTATACTGCCTGATGTGGAAGAGTCCTAGCCATGTGAATTCTCACCTCTGTCAGTATAGAATAATAGTATTTTATTAGTTATTAGGAATATATATTGACATAATCTCATATCATTCAGAAAATTGATTATTGAACAAAGTCCCCAAATCGTTATGGCAATCATGAACCTACAAAGTGTTGGGGTCACTACTTGATTTTTGAATCCAGAATGTTCTTGTTCAGGAAAATTGCTTCCACTTGAACGAACCATGAAACTGGATCACTATCCCAAAACTCAGGTAATTTCACATTAACGATTGAAGAGGTTGAATCTGGATTCCACTGAGAAGGCTGAACCGTTGGACTGATTTGTCGTTGATGTCTAGGCATTTGTAGGCAGGTCAAAGTCACCAATATAGAATGATAGTACTTTATCAGTTAATAGGAATATATACTGACATAATCTCATATCATTCAGAAAATTGATTATTAAACAAAGTCCCCCAAATCGTTATGGCAATCATGAACCAACAAAGTGTTGGGGTCACTACATCAGCATGACTCTCGACTTGTCACTGTACTTAAGTATATTCACATCAACTAGATTTGCTCCACCTGCACCACCATCCCCAGAACCGGGTCTCAGGGTATCAGCCCCCTGCCAAACGACGATGTAGTGACGATTAGATTTTAGAGTATAGGATCACCCTCATCTGATTAATTGCTTCCTATAACCCTAGACTTCTATTGAAGCCTAATATTTTCTTGACGGTTGAATTTTCTGCCTCAACAGGCGTTATATCTAGACCTGTTCTAGGGTAGTCAGCCTTTGGCGGACTAAAAAAAAAAATTGTTCTAAAATTGTTCTATCCGTCATTCGGTTGCCCCCTTACGAGCAACCCTGGTACATTACATGAACAAAAGTGCTCTACGGTTTAGTGTCAGTCTCCTCTAGACCCATCTTTTTTTAGTTATAGCTCAGAGAGTAGTGCTTTAGTTCTTGTTCGCTGAGACTCACTAGCTTGAGAATCGTTGAAGAACTTTTTCCTTCTCGTTTACCTGGAAATGCTCAACAGTATAGTAGGATGTTTCACTTCATTCTCATTTTCTGAGTTATGTGATAAGGTGGCATTTGCTTGTCTCACAGGAAGGTAAAATGTGAGCTCTGCACTTATTTGCTAGGCGATCAAAATAGGTTATTTTGATAGTTTGAATTGTTAATCAGTTTTTTATCAAAATGTTCACAGAATACCCTATAGCATTTGGAATTATTATATCGCAATTATAACAACTATAATTCCAGCGTACAGAATTCCAATTTTTTTGCCCCCCACCCCACAGAATACAAAAACAAAACAATGACCTATTTCTACGTTTCAGAGCTTCAATGAATATAGGTTCATATGATCCAAATCATATAAGTTGAAAGGATGAACATGAGTGTGGCAACTTTGACTTCAAGACGTCTCCAAGTCCGAGCGCTCTAACAGCCGTTCATCTTTTTTCATAATGACGAAATTTACATAAGCTCGATAGGAAATTCGATGCTCTTCCATTATGTGCATGATGCTCTGTCTCTGAGTAATACGTAAACTTTGAATTTTTTGCGAAAACCGACGAGAAACGCTATTTTTTGAAAATTACCGAAAGTACCGCAACCTTCAGTCCTATATTCATGAGCAAGAACAATTTTATCTAGGAAATTTCATCTACTACAACTTTTCATAGGGCGATCTTTTCGATATAATGTATGATTTCCGAGTTACGAGCAAAACACCGAAATCTTCTCATCTTTCCATAAATAAATCAAGTAATCAATCGAAACCGAGAGCAGGCAAGTAATATTCTTTGAAAAAGATTATTTTCCGTTGGTATTTTTCAATTTCAGTTCAAACATGTCAAGCGATGATGATGAGATTATTTCTACACCACCAGAAAGCATTGAGAGAGCAGTTTAACTCAATTCAACTCAATTCAACTCAATTTAACTCAATTCAACCCAATTCAACTCAATTCCACTCGATTCAACTGAATTCAACTCTATTCAACTGAATTCAATTTACCCAGGACTTATTCCTTCTGAGTTGATAGGATTGAGAGAAATCAAGTGATCTTGCATTGACTCACGTCAACCCCTGGATGAAAATTCTGAGAACTAGGAAATTATTTGATGACAGATATTCAGCTTCTGATAAAAGTTGAAATTCCTGAAAAAAAAAAATACGAACTTTATTTTCCCGAAAATTTTCTTTAGTTTCCATATTCAACGATAGATGGCGCAAATAACGAATCATTATTTACAAAGGGAATCATTCAAATATCAATAGCTCTGTAGAGTAGGTTTTGTTGTTTCTGGTTGAAAACAAAACCTTACCCTTTTCAATGGATTGTTATCCAGAAAATATACAGGATGCTCGATTTGAAATTCTGAAATTCAATCATGGCTTTGAACCCAGCGTATTATACTGAATTTATCAAAAGTCGTTCAGATTCCATGAAACATCACTGATATATTCTAAGACTTCGTTGATTTTGACTCACACTGTATCATATATTTTTTGCTCATATGGGGAGGTCGTGTGTGTTATATTATTCAGTAAAATTATTATAACCGAGATTATGACGAATCGCTCGTTTTTCATGCTCTAAACCAAAATGCGTCATAAAGATTAATTCTTCTTGATTAGAGTTCGGGGGAAATTAAACATTATGAAATATGTGCGAGTTCATTTTCGAGGGAATTGCGGTATTTGCCGAAGCACAAATAAAAAAAACTTTTAATTATGTTGGAGAGCATAGTATTTGAAAATCTGTGGGCCATTTTCAACTGTGAAAAAGTTATATATACAGGGTATGTCATAGAAACCAAGTGTTTTTGGTTTGGATAGTATTCGGCGATTAGAAAAAGTTGCCACTTCAGATTTTCCTTAAAAGCGGTGCGTTCTATATCAAGTTTCAACAAGATGATCCGTTTTTTACAAAATTGAATGGCCCCTCATATTTTTTTATTTTGAAAATGTTCCTTCGTTACTCACCTTCAAGTAGAAAATAACAATAATATACCTCTTATTATTTATTATTGGTATGACCAATTCCTTGAAATAATTAAGATTTTTTTTTTCAGCGGTTGCCAATAGTAATATGTTTATAGGAACTTCTAGTCCTAAAAAAATAAATCAAGGAATTACCTTCTTCAATATCTACATGACAAACAGTGTATGAAATTTATACAAAATATACCTCCATCGCAAAAACATCTAATCATGTTTCATAATGTTATTACAAGCCAAGTTATAATGATCATAATGAAACCCTATAGGCAACTCTTGAACTAAAGGAAACAAGTAAATTTTTGTACATACTAATTCTCCATTAATTTCATGCTAATTGCATTTTGTTTTCAAAACAACATAGCATGGAAGACCATCACATGGTGAAGGAGTATATCATATGAATTATACAGTATAATGGTATCGTTTCATAAACATAGCGTGTTGATTTTTCGAATGAGTTCTAACCACGCGCTGAATAGTTTGAAGTTTCTGAAATAACAAGTAGAAATACCTATGAATTGTGAATTCCCCCAACTTTCTTGTTCATTCGAATATTGGAAGTTGTCTCCCAATAAGCAGAGTTGAAAGCTATGTTGATGGAATGTTGATGCAATGTTGAAGCAATTACTTGAACGGAAGTTTACCAATATTGCAGAGGTGAAGTTGATAATGTAGAGTTGCAGCAGTGTTACATTTTGCTGTGACATTGCTGGAACGTTACATTTACAAATTTACATTTGCAATGTTGCTGAACGTTAGTTCCAGTAATTGCTACAACCTTGCATCAACATATAGCTTCCAAATTTGCTTAGTGGGCTATAGGCGACTGAGATCAAGATCGTAGCGCCAGAACGGCGAATGTCGGGCCATTGGCGGATTGTTTATATTGTTCAGTAATGATGTTTATGTTCATTTCGTTTTGATATTTCAAACAGCTTCATTATTATTTATGTATTTTCGAACCTCGTGTTTTCCAGTGGTTTGTTATGTTTTGATTGAGGACAAGATTATATCTGTTCAACAATAGAATTTGATTTTGAGTTTGCGAAGAACATGTTATGTTATCAAAGAAAATTATAATAATAAAATGTTACATGTTTCATGTGAAACCCAGGGTTCTGGTTGATGAAATTCTTTACTGTTTATAAATTCTACTGTTCATGAGTAGTATTATGAAGGAAGATGTAATCAGTTGAAAATTTGTTCGATTTTTATTATAACCCCAAGAAGTAGGTATATTATATTCATAATAGATATATACCTATTATATGGAAATATATGAGTAAATTCGCAGTGAAGTGATGAAGTGAAAAGAATAATCTCTCTCATAATATGCTGATACACTTTTTTTTGCAATCTTGAAGTTATGAATTCACATCTTTCTTCTATGGATCACTTCTTTATTTCCCAACTTAGTTTTTCTTTTTTTTTATCGCTTGGAGCGCACGAAAGGGAATCCCTATAACGTTCAAAGAACATCGTGCGTTCCTAGGGAGGATAGGAACAGGAGGTAGGTATTGGAATTTGTTTTGAACTTCTGGAGATTATATGTTGTTGGGTATACTTCCGCAGGCAATGAATTCCAGAGCCTAGCCGTTCTATGGATAAAGGAGTCTTGATAAAGTTACGAAAACAACTTAGGGTTGTCCTGATTTTGGAAAGGTATGAAAGCTATATTCGGGATTTTTTTTTTAAGATGAGCAATGGGGTACACAACAATAGTGATTCATGTTTTCAAACGTTTAAAAAATTTCTCAAACAAAATTATAGAAGATATAAACACAACTACTTCTCATATAAAACACATGCAAACTGATGTGAACAAAGCAACCAATGGTCCATACGTTAGTTATACTTATTAGAAAACGGTAGAGGGCGTATTCCTTAGCAAGATTTGCCTATAGCCAGTTGGTGGGATACTTTTCTCAATCAACAAAAGAGTATACTAATGAAAAACTGGACGAAGAAGATAAAAGATAAACTCTGAAAACATATAATTAAGATGTCATTTCACTCCCTGGGTTCAAATATATACAATGTGTACGATTTCAACCCCCCAAATCTTTCTATTTATCACCCGTTGACCATTTTTCCAAAATAAAAATTCGATAAAATAGTACATCCAGATTTTCCAAAATGAAGTGCCTAGTAGTCGTATTTGAAATTTTGACCCATGCCTTGGATTTTTTAGAATTCAGATTTGTCCCTTTTTTGGAAGAGATCTTGTTGATGGAATTTCTATTTTGGAACATTGGATAATGGGTTTCAAATTAGGAGGGTTTTCTGAGTTGAAACTGCTTCCAATATACAGTGTGTCCCACTCACCATGCTACCATGGGTATCTTTTTAACAGTGAGAGATACGAGGTCGGTTAAATGACACCGAATGTGGAGTTTGTCAAGGCCAACTATAATGTGAAAAAATAGAATGTGTTGTCATCGAAATTATGAACACCTGCCAAATTTCGAGTTAATCGGACGACCAGAAGTGGGAGATGTTCGTAAATCCGGTGACAATACATTATGGAATTTTTGTTGAAATTAAGAAAAATGGCTGCTCCAAGATGGCGGACAAGATTTGGTCCGATTAGATTCAAAATTGGTAATTGGGGGTTTTTGAGGTCGGAGATCATGATTTTTTTGTTAAAATTTACCAATTCAAGATGGCGGCTTCCAAATAATTTTTTGTTTTTGTATAAATGACGATAACTCCGTTGTTATCAACACAAAAATATTACTGCGACATATCATCTGTAAGAGAAAAAAAAGTTATCTGTAACTAAGTCATAGTGAGCTATGACCTACATTTGAAAAACTAAAGTTGGTGCTGATATCTCAAATAATTTTTTATACTGGGTGAGTCAATAGTGTTTTCTCCTTCGATATTGGCCAAACCGTCAAAACTTTGAAAAAATTCAAAGTTATAGGGTTTCATGAAAACTATCACCTAAAAATATTTTCATATCCATAGGGTGTTCGAATTCCAAGATATCGGCTGATGATGTGTTTTTCAATGGGACACCCTGTATATCATTGTATTTTTAGGTTCTCCTTGAAGATCTGATTTCTTCAATACATCGCACTTGCGGTCTAGCGGGCAAGATTACAGAAATTTTCCAACTTCAGGATTTTGTTTTGTGTCGAAACTATTCATTATTGGTCAAAGCAGCACTATCTCAACTATTGATTCACTATCTACTGACATTTAATTGAAACAGGGTGGTTCAAGATTCGAGAATTGTGATCACCCTATATCTGTCCCAATTAAATGTCAGTAGATAGTAAATCAAAAGTTGAGATGGCCGTTTTGACCAATAATGAATAGTTACGACACAAAAAATACTAAAGTTGAAAAATCCCAATTTCGAACACCCTATATCTCTGTAATCATTCCTGCTAGACCCCAGATACATTGATGAAATCAGCTCTTCAAGGAGAAATGCAATAATATACAGGATGATCCATTGAAAACAAGACATCATCAACCGATGTCTTGGAATTCGAACACCCTATAGATATGAAAATAATTTGAGGTGATAATTCTCATGAAACACTTAACACTTAATCATTCCTGCTAGACCCCAGATACATTGATGAAATCAGCTCTTCAAGGAGAAATGCAATAATATACACGATGATCCATTGAAAACAAAACATCATCAGCCGATGTCTTGGAATTCGAACACCCTATAGATATGAAAATAATTTGAGGTGATAATTCTCATGAAACCCAATAACTATTGTATTTGAATTTTTTCTATATATTTGACTGTTGGGCCAATATCAAGCG